GAGTATATATAATTATTAATAATTTTTATTATAAATATTATAATTACACTCAGGTGGGGACATGGTTTTTGAATAATAAATTATGGAATATTATATTTTTATAATTTATTAATAAAGAATTTTTATAATTATTTTATTAATTATATCAGTCTTAATATATATAGATCTGGAGGAGTTATAATAAGTTAATATAAAATCTAATATTTAAATTTATTTTAAAATCTGAAAAATGTCTTTGCAGGACTGGTTTTAAAAAATAAAAAATTTTTTTAAATAAATTTATTTATAAACTTAATAATTTAATTATAATTGTTTATAAAATATTAATAAAAGTTACAGAATCCAAGAAATAACCAAAATTTCTTTAATTATAATTAGATATTATTATTCTGTAATCATAGTAATCTTTATAAAATTAATTTAAATATTTATAATAGTAATAATAAATCCTAAAAATTTAATTTTTATTATATAGAATTTATATTTATAAATTATTATTTAAAATTTAGCTGCTTAAAGATACTCAAGAATTTAATAAATATAAATTTATATTTTACTTTATTTTTACTAAGAATTAATATATTATTAATATATATTATAATAAATTTATTCAGGAAATCTATAAGGATCTTATTAATAAAATACTAGAAAATTATTAATTTATCTATAAATTTAAATAATAATATTTAATACTTGAAGATTCCATAACAGGTTTAAAAAATAATTAGATTTTTAAATTTAAAATTTATATAAATATAATAGAAGTTCTGGCAGATATTAAGTTTTATAAATATTTTTATATTTTAAAAGCAGTTTATTATCTTATTAATTAAAGAAATAAAATAAGAATTCTTTTAAATTAAAATATTTAATTTCTAGTAGTTAATATATAAATATAATTTTTTTTAGATTTTTTTATTATCAGAATAGAGAAGGTAAACAGAACTATATTAAATATAATAATTTTTTTTTAAAATTTTTAATAATATAATTCCGGGCAGTTTTAAGTTTCTTTAAAATTATTTTATAAAGAGAAATTATTTTTAATAGATTATTTTTTTCTAGCTGGAAAAAAAATTTTAAATTAAAAAAAAATAAAATATTTAATTTTTTTTTAAAAAAAATTTATTAAATTATAATAATATTTAAGAGTCTGCTTTATCTTTTTCTTTTTAATTAATTAAAATATTTTATCTTAGAACTCAGTTTTTTCTATAATAATTTTTTTAATAGTATTTAAGAATATAATAAATATCTCTGACTTAAGATTTTATAAATATTTATAAAAAATAATAATCTTAATAAGAATTATTTTGATTTTTATAAAAGTATTTATTTCTTGAAAGCTTCAGGAGGTCTTAAAAATCTTATATTAAAATTTTTAATTTATTAGATTTTAATATATTTTTATTAGAGTTTCTTGCAGAGTGCTTTAGTAAATTTAGAATATTTTAAATTTTTTTTTAAAAAAAGTATTTATAATTAAATATTAATTATGTTTTAGAAATTATAATTTTATTAAGTAATATTGTACTAGTAGTTCTGATTAATAAAATATTATAATAAAATATATCAGAAGATTTATTATGATAATCTAATTTTAATTTTATTTTATAAAAAAAATAATTAAATTATATAAGTTTTTTTTACTGGTAATCTAGCAAGATTCTATATTTTATAAATTATATTTAGTTTAAAATAATATTATAATAACTTAGTTTAAATATTAAAAATAATATATTATAAAACTAGTATTTATTAATTATGAGCATGAACTGGATAATATAAATTGAAAATATTATAATTTTATTATTAAAATCTATAATAATATAATTAATTTTAAAAAAAATTATTTTAATTTAAAAGTAGCAGGTTATCTAAATAATAAAAATAATATTTATATAAATATAAATATTAGCTCTGATATTAGTAAGAGTATATATAAATATTATTAATTTATTATTTAATATTAAAATCTTAATAATAAAGTTTTTATTCTCTTGACCTAGCAGATCTTATAAATTTAATAAATTAATATTAATATTTATTTTATCTAGAAAAAAACTTTTTTTTAAATATTATTTTCTATTAAATTATTATTTTCTATTATTTTTATTTAATTGAATTGGCCTGCTTTCTTCTTTAAATAATTATAAATTAAATATTTCTACTATTAATAAATAAAATAATATTTTTTAGTTATTATATGAATATATTTTTCTAATTTTATACTAGCAGTATAGCTAGTATTACAGAAAATTTTAATAAAAATAGAGAAGGTTACAGTTATAATAATAATAATAATTAATATAAATAACTAATAGCTTAAGATACTTATCTTATTATAATATTATTTTATTATATTATTAATTAAAATTTGATAATCAGGTATACTTATTAATATATTATTTAAATATTATATTATTATTACTAAAATAGAATATTATCAGCTCCTGTAACTTTAATAAAAAATATTAAAAAAATTATTTTTTAATAGATTTTAATAATATTTATCTTTATTATAAGATAACAGAATATAAATATAAAATTATAAAATTTATTTTTAATTATTATCTTAAGTTCCTTATATTGCTGATATATATTATAAGATTTATTTAAATTAATATAAATAATCCTCAAACATTGAAATATATTAATTATATCTGTATATTAATTTTGAGTATTAAAATAAAATTAAAAAATAAAATATTTCTTAATCTTATTTTTATAATAATTAATTATATAAGTTTATCAGACAGCAGCTATATTTAAGTAATTTATATTAATTTTTAATTTTTACTATATTGTAAGAAGCTAGTCTTTAAAATTAATAATTTTATTATTATTAAATAGAAATAGATTAGGAATTTTTATTAATTCTTTAAATTTAGAAGTCTCAGTTACTTAATTATTCTAGTTATTAAACTGAAAAAGCTAGATTATATATAAATTATATTTATATATTAATTTATTATAATTATTATTAAGCTTGTCCCACTGGTAGATAATTTTATATATTTTTATTTTTAACTTATCTATAATACAGAGAATTATATTAAATATTTTATTAGGATTCTTTATATACAGCTTATAAAACTAGTTATAAATAATATTTTTCTAGTTATTAATTTTTTTTTCTAGTAAAAAAATTAGATATTATCAGAAATTTATAATATATAATATTAATTTATTATAATTTTTTCTAGTTATTATAAGTATTCTTATTGATTATTTTAATTCAGATTTTAGTCAGATTATTCTGTTTTAGCTATATTTCGTATTATTAAATATATATAAAAGATGACACCGGCTACTAAGCTAAATAACTAGTAATTTATAATATTAATTTAAGAAATAGAAAATAAAATAATACTAGAAATTATATAAAAGCTGTTTAAATAGTCAAATTCAGTATTATCTAATAAGAATTTCTAGTATAAAGAAAGAAAAGGAAGAAGCTCAGGAGGAAATATATAATTATATAAAGATAAATAAACCATGTAAGATAAATAAATAAAGCAAATAAAACAGATATCATGTGACCCAGAAACGTCACTCGCCGTCACAGAAAAAGGACTAAATTTGATAAATAATGAAATATAATTATATGGCTGTTATATGATCAATACAATAAATTCAGTCTTGTCATTTGTATTAGCATACATTCTAAAAGTTTATCATAATACTTTACTAGTAATGCTTATTATGGTAACTCAGCTTTAGTTTAATTGAAGATTGAGATAGAAGATTTAGCTGGAGCTGTTTATTTGATTTCATTATACGGAGGTGTGTTTCAAAAGTCATTAAACATGACCTGTCACATTACGGTGTCTTGGCAGTAATGCATAGAACTGATACACGCACAGCAAAGCACGTGATGCATAACACCAATCACGTGCTGTGATATACATCGGTTGTATATCACGTGCAACTGTATAAGATACTTATGCATGATCACGTGATGCATAAGGTATTCTGTATTCAAGCAAAATTACTAGCGCTGCTAATGACTGTTGAAACACACCTCCTTAATCATGAATTTCATAATAGAAATATAATTTGGCATTCGGAAATTTCTGACTTGACTCCGTTTATATTAGGATTTCTTATATAAAGTTCTGTATTAAACCTTTTATAAAGATTTCTATCAAATTTTTATTGGATTCTAAATAAGCCTGTATACTAGATCTTATATAAAATTCATGTATAAATACTGGTGAAAATCTCCTATATATAAAAAGATTAGGTGATGATATCGAGTTTAGAATAGTATCTTTTTTAGGGCAGGAGACGGGTGTTCCCGGTGTGAATCCTCGATTTCCACTGCCGTTTCTCTTCCCGGGACTGACCCTCTTTACTCCACAACACCACAGCAATGACCAGCAGTGATTTGTTTAGCAATCCAGCCTGCTAGTGCCGGACTTCAGTTTCGAACTATTCCAGACCATATTGTCTTGCATTCTTATTCTCATTCCACCTGTACCTTTTGAACTATAACTATTGGTGGGTGATTTATCAAAGGCTTGCTATCGCTGTAACAAAGCCTCTTGCATCTCCATTACACGTATGCAATAGCACCTTCACCAGCTTTTCTCTCATATGCGTCTTTGGCCCGTCCTGTTCTTAGGACAACGGCAGGGGGCACTGGGTCCCAACAAACCACCAAAGACCAATATCCCAAGGGCAATAGACAACATACCGAATGAATGATCCGCAAGCACCCCATTTCGATCGTCTCTCTATAGGTACTACTATTTGGACCCCTCAAGCTGAATCCATTGGCTGTTATTTAGTTTCAATGTTGCTCATAACAACCCCTGGATAGGCCTGTCCAGTACGTCTGTCACATACTGGCTTACTGAACATCGTGTTCCCCGCATCCTGCTACTACCGGATTGATTCACCTCGGTCTCTTATCAAGGACCATACATAACATCAGCTTGGGCCGCCACCGGTCAGGTCGATGTATCCAATCGAACGGGCAAAGTGCAGACTTCAAAATGCCTCAACCACCAATGTCCAACATTATACAGGTATGGCTACAGGAGTTATCATGTACATCTTCAAGCTCACGACTGTTGTCGCCTTAAAAGGACCATTTCACGGAGAAAGCGCCAAGTTTCATCAATAAAGCCAGGTCCAGAATTGCCGAACCCGTTGTTGCTGCTTTCATAGCCGGAGGAGTCGCGGGTGCGGTGTCGAGGACACTTGTATCACCACTCGAACGTCTCAAAATCCTCCTCCAGATTCAGAGTGTTGGCAGAGAAGAATACAAATTATCCATATGGAAAGCGCTCGTCAAAATCGGAAAGGAGGAGGGATGGAGAGGCTTCATGCGCGGAAATGGCACGAACTGTATTCGCATCATTCCTTATTCAGCGGTTCAATTCGGCAGCTATAATTTCTACAAGAAGGTGAGTTGAAAATCAATCCGTACAGGCTTTGAGATTGTACGCCTCGAGTGTATAATGCGTTTGAAGTGCGAATATAAGCCATAGAGGGCGACCGGGTTGGAGGTTTGATTAACGTAGACTCTAGTTCGCTGAATCTTCGCCAAATGCCGAATTATCAGCCATGCAGCGGCTTCTTTGTGGTGCCGCTGCCGGCATCACATCCGTGACAATTACTTACCCTCTTGATATTGTCAGAACTCGACTCTCTATCCAGTCAGCGTCATTTGAAGCTCTCAGTCACCGAGGGGTTGGCGAGCAGTTACCGGGCATGTTTACCACAATGGTCTCGATATATAGAAACGAAGGCGGTATTGTAGGTCTTTACCGTGGCATTGTGCCTACCGTTGCTGGTGTCGCTCCCTATGTCAGTAAGCCCGGAACGCTCATACTATACCACCTGTGACTAAGTGCATTTAGGTTGGCCTCAACTTCATGACGTATGAATCGGTCCGCAAGTATTTGACCCCTGAAGGTGATGCGACACCAGGACCCCTGCGTAAACTACTTGCCGGTGCAGTTTCTGGTGCAGTAGCACAAACATGCACATACCCATTGTAAGCCCCACCAGGAAACATCGATTGCTCCTCGTTATGATTAGCTAATATGGAGGCCACGGCTTCAGCGATGTTCTCCGACGGCGCTTCCAGATTAATACAATGTCTGGGATGGGATATCAATATGCATCAATCACGGACGCCGTAAGGGCCATTGTGGCGCAAGAGGGCTTGCGTGGCCTGTTCAAAGGAATTGTGCCAAACCTTCTCAAGGTGGCTCCCAGTATGGCTAGTAGTTGGCTCAGCTTCGAGTTGACCCGGGATTTCTTAGTGGGTTTGGAGAAATGATAGATATAGCATCAGTAAATATGGCCACGACACCCCGATGAATACAAATCACACCTGGTAGATAAAACAAGTTCCAACTTTTCTATTTCACCAAAAAAGTATATCTTTGTTAGGTGACGGTACGTATCATATACCCTCTTTGACTTTGCTGCTATGTATTGTGCAATTTTCCCAATGCCGGGCGATGGCTATGTTCGGCAGAGTGCCCCTCGATAATTACGCATATGGAAATAACTAAATTATGCAACATAGATATAAAAACCTTTGTAGAGCATTGTTTGATGTAAGGACTTTGATTGGTATAGAATATGATAGTTGACACGGTAGGTCAAGTGAGCTGGAGTGGGTTATGCTAGACTATGCGGGGTAAAAGTGGGAAAGATGCAACATATTTATGGATCATAAGCCTACGGACTACGGAGTACACTATAGAATTTGTTAGAGGAAGGGCACACGCCTACAGATAAGAAAGATGTGTGGTCCAGAGGGGAACCGGAGGGATCGCTCATTAATGAATCAACAGTATGTGAGGTTCAACGTCCAATGATAAATGATAGCAGGATAAATGGAGCTCCCCACTAAAACTATAATTTATTTAGCACACAGTGCTAGGATAGTCAGGATTTAAACTGGAGTAACTAGTACAATGAATGGTGCATGCCTTGAATATTGGGCATCAAATGATCTTGGCTACCGTATTGGGACTAGTGTAGGGCTCAACCCGCACACACCGTGCATCTGAAAATCGTAGATTGAAAACCTCACCAGCTTCACCTTGACTACGGGTGCGATAGCCAGCCAACTTTCAGGTGTCCCATCAATAACAGCAGCCATGGGTACGTTAAATTGACGTGGTGATATATTCATTCGCCGAAGAATTTCGCGGGTTGCGACTTCTCTTTTGGCTCAACACCATGGACAGTTCCTATTCTCACTTGGCGAATACTGATTTTGGGATACAGGTATCGACTTGGACCGCCACCATGTGCGCGGCACCCATCGCAAGGCGCCCAAGAGCGAGAACGTTTACCTGCAGGTCTTGGTGAAGCTTTACCGCTTCCTCGCCCGTATGTCTCCGCCTTCTATGTGCAACCGATTTTCAGCCATGGGAAACTGATGGGTGGTGGAAATTTTGCAGGTCGTACGGAATCCAACTTCAACAAGGTCGTCTTGCGCCGCCTTTTCATGTCCAGGATCAACCGCCCCCCCGTTTCGCTCTCGCGCATTGTTTCCAATGTGACCGACTCCCACAAGGGCAAGACCATCGTTGTGATCGGCACCATCACTGACGACAACCGTCTTCTTACTGTCCCGAAGCTGTCCATTGCAGCCCTTCGCTTTACTGCTACTGCTAGGGCCAGGATTGAGAAGGCCGGTGGTGAGACCTTGACTCTGGACCAGCTTGCTCTGCGTGCCCCTACTGGAGCGAACACTCTCCTCCTCCGCGGACCCAAGAATGCTCGGGAGGCAGTGAAGCACTTCGGTTTCGGCCCCCACAGCCACAAGGCATGTTATATACCCTGCGCACATATATGGTTTGCAAGACTAACCTTGAACAGAAACCCTACGTCCGCAGCAAGGGACGCAAGTTTGAGAGAGCCCGTGGACGCAGAAGGTCTCGCGGTTTCAAGGTGTAAGGAACGCTGGTTAAATATTTTCCGTTTCTTGTGTCTGGTAGCGGTTCATCGTGCTGGTGATGACGACTTGCGGAATCATGCATACCTAGGAGTCTTCCTTGCCGGCCGTTGCTCCAACGTTTATTAGAATGCCCGATGCCAGACCGAATATTATGAGGGTTCCAGGCGAGCTTAACTGGATGAAAATGAAAATGGAGTTAAATCATTGAATACCTATAAATTTCTCTATTATTGTTCTATATATTACAATGGTAGAGCTTCATGTTTCCACTTTTTACCCCCAACACCATCGAAGTAGTCTCCTGCTCTATGGCCATCACCCCGAATCAGGTACTTGTAAATCGTGAGACCATCTAGTCCCACGGGACCTCTGGAATGGATCTTATTGGTGCTGATCCCGACCTCTGTGCCAAAGCCATACCTCATACCGTCTGCAAATCTTGTTGAAGCATTCCAGAAAACACCGGCACTGTCGATGCTGCTCATGAAGTAATCCGCAGTGGCCTTTGACTTGGTCAAGATTATGTCGGTATGCTTTGAGGAATGGGTATTGATGTGGTCGATCGCTGCATCAACACCTGAACCGGGAGCAGATGCAGGTATCGTTTTGATAGCAAGGATCAGATCCAGAAATTCTGTATTATAGTCGGACTCGACGGCATCCACGATAGAACTCATCTCCACAGAGTCTAAAGTATCCGCCAGCGCACCTTTCGAGGGTTCGTCACACTTCAAAGTAACACCCTTCGCCACGAGGGCCTTGGCAACAGTAGGTAGTATGGTCCTCAAAACAGCTTCATTCACCAGCAGGGTCTCCAGAGAGTTGCAAGCGGCTGGATAATCCGTCTTGGAATCGACGAGCACTTTAACGGAGACGTCCAGGTCCGCGTCATGATGTACGTAAGCGGAGCAAAGGCCATCTGCGTGGCCTAATACTGGAATTTTGGTGTTGTCTTTGACGAAGCGAACAAGGTCATTCGACCCGCGAGGGATGACTAAATCAATCAAAGTATCTTGGGCCAGCAAGGAAGAAACCACGTCTCTGGTCTGTACGAGCTGGATGGAGGACTTGGGAACGCGGGTGCTCGATATGGCTTGAGAGATCACCGTCGATATTGCGACGAAAGATTCAGTTGATTCTTTCCCGCCTGTTATTATGGTCAGCAATGCATGAAAATCTAGAGCGGGTATGTGATCGAAACCTTTTAGGATAGCTGCATTGCCAGACTTGATAGATAAGGCAGCAATATTTGCGATCACCTCAGGGCGAGCTTCGAAAATTATCAACAACACTCCAATGGGACAGCTCACCCTCTCCAATGTAAGTCCATCATCGAGCAGTGTCCTCAGAGTCACGTTTCCAACTTCGACAAGTCAGAAAGCGCACACTAAAACAATCGAGTATTCTTACTTGGATCGGTCAAATCCCGCACACTGAGGATTCCTTGCAACATATCATCATATTTCCCCGGCCTTGATAAGTCAAGCCTCTTCAAGACGCTAGAATTCAAATCCCCATCCTCCGCGGCACGGCTTGCCAATGCGACATCCTTTGCGTTGGCGGCTAGGATGGCATCCTTATTAGCCAAAAGACCCTCATACAGCGCCGTTAATGCTTCATTGCGCTCAGCATTTGATAGGACCGCTAGCCGTCTAGCAGCTACGGATGCAGTGCTTGCGATACTGCCGGCAGAAGACTGTGTAAGCGACATTTGCTAGATTTCACTAAGGAGAATGTAAGACATTGGGTAAGAACACGGGAAGTGAGGGGTCACGGATTGAAGTTGGTAATATTACCTAAGCAATCAGTAGACTTTCAGTACTAGTTAGTATGTACCCCGTGCACCGAGAAAGTATCCGTTTCGGCCTCTTTGGCTAGTTGATGTTTTGCCCATACTCGGCATTCTGCAATTCATCAGAAATTGACCAGCATATGTGTACCTACAAGTTAGGCCTGATGACCTCGGTGAATGCCCCTTTCAACAGGTTATCGTTTGACATCACGCTCAGTAGCTTTCTACTGTCAGTATAATGTCGGCCCGATGCCTACAACAACTGTTCTGTTGTGCTGCTGTAACAACCAATCTTAAACTACAGCATATCATGGTTGAATATTACACTGATATCAAACTCTTTCCCTTGCTCCTTGAGTACTAGTAGTATTCCTAGTCTCTACGTATTTGGATCTGGCTAGGGATACGACATAGTGCCTCACGAACCAGGAGTGTGGCTTTTGATGTTAAAAAAAACGGTCCTATTGGTAACTGAAGTGAAGCAGTAGTGAGTATTCCACGTATGTACTACTAGTTCTGTATATTACCCTTGATTTGTACTGAGGCAAGGTGGTTGCGAGTAAGTTAGTCTGCTCTAGTTAGCTGTCGTAGCTAACGTGCATGCACCGTGTATGAGGTAATAAGTGGGTGGTACTGTCAAGTACTACTACTACTACTACTACTACTACTACTTCCCCCTTCAACAACCCGCCGCGCTCATCTTTCGTCCTTTATCTGCACTCAACTGGCCACTACTCAGCTACAGGTCGTACAACCCACAGAAGATGGCAGAGATTCTCGCACATCTCACTTCGGCGTCATCTGAACTTCGTGCAATAAGCGATACGCGCGATGAAAGATATGACACACAAATGCGTGACCTGGTTGCATACATTAAGAATTACGATAAGGATCTTGACACTCAATATCTCCTAGATGTAAGCACGGCCAGAATCTTCGCGGGTGAGGGTGGAAGAGCATGGCTAGTGGATTCTTATGCAAGATAGTATATAAGGCATGCTTACGAATATGACCATTTACCTCGCAGAACCTCGATCCGTCACAGCACACGTTATCCTACCTTTTGATTCTCAATATCCACGTCGACAGTCTACAAAAACGGACAAAGGAAAATGTGCCAGACGAGATCAAGCCAGGGAATGATTTATGGGCTGAAGTGGCCTATTTTCTTCAACATTTTGATCCAATCCAGGTCCGGTATGCTGGCTATGAGTGGCGCCGACTTGTTGAACTCCTGGCACAAGCTGCCGAAGTTACTGCGAAGGTAGGCGCCCTCCAAGCCAACAGGAATTGTTTAATTGCTTTATAGTTGACCTCCAATAGCCGTTCCTAGCGGTCCAAGTGATAAAGGAGGCATTGCTTCGACTAAACTCACCTGGTGTCCTTACATCATTACATGTTACGTTCCTCAGACTTACTCTCCTTTCCAAGTCTTATCATCATGCTTTACCGGTTATGGAAAGATGGGTTTTCCAGTTTCCCACCAGTTCAGTCCAAGCCTACCGCAAGCATATCAGCCGTCCGTTGTGCTCCGAAGACACTTTCGGCGATACGTTCATCTCCGATGCATCTGGCTTCTCTGCAAAGCTGACATACAGAGATCATATGAGATTTTTTCTGTATGGCGCAATGATTTACCTGGCCTTAAAGGAATGGAACAAGGCGTTACATTGGCTAAGCATCGTCATATCGTCTCCTGTCAATGACTCTGTCAGCAAAATAATGATCGAAGGCTATAAGAAGTGGATATTAGCTAGCTTGCTGGCGCACGGAAAGGTAGTCAACTTGCAGAAGGACCCGAATTATGCTTTTGACTGACATACGCTACTGTTATAGTTGATCTCATCGCCTAGAGTGATCTCTGCACACGTTTTGAAAGTATATCAAACGTTAACAAAACCCTACGCATCCTTGGTCGACGCTTTTGAGAGGGGCGACTATCCAAGGTTGAGAGCTGAGATCGACATTGGTCGGTCAGTTTGGCGTACTGTACGTTAGCAGATGGGAGTACAATTGTCACGTATCGGTTAGACTGACGGTCTTCTAGGACAATAATGAGGGCCTAGTCTCCCAGCTGTTCTACGCTTACAATTCGTTTCTTGTTATCAAGCTAGGCAGGACTTTCTCGGCTCTCACTGCAGCGGATGTGGCACAACGCACGCTTGCACCATTGGCATTTTCTGCAAATATCGAAGACTTCGTGGCGTTGCTCGTAATGTCTGGCACCCTCAGCGCTACGCTACTGCATCTGCATGGTCAATCAGATGCAACAATGCTTCGGTTTTTTGCGCGCCGTGAATCGTACCTCAATAGTGAAATACGGATGCGAACACGATTGGTTGAAGAGGCTCGGGTACTAGGACTAATAACGAAAGATGCTAACCAATGTAGCAGTGAGTTGCAGCTGGGAAATGAAAGTCTTCAAATCTTATCTAGAAATCAGAGGTGGCCTGATGCTTCAAGGGTCAGTGGCGATGCTGTTGGAGAACTAAATGGTGGTCTGGAAATTGATGAAGACATCATGGGGGATGGTACCTGAAGTACAAGGAAACATCGGTGAACGTCATGCCGAACTTACCCATGTCCAATAGCGGATCTAGAAACAGGGCTAAGGTAATATGTACCCCAAGCCGACTTTTCCCAACAGTCCTGCATATGTAAGGTCCGCCTATAATGGCACGTTCGATACATCAATTGATGATTTCCTCTCTTGTTCAAATCACTGCCTCCTAGGGCATATGCCGGCATTACCATCAACAGCTAACATATAAGCTGCAATGTCTACCATATAGCTCTCTTACCAAAGAGTATACTAATTGGATATAAATATGGTCAGAGTACGGAGCACGCATCAATGGCCCTAGCTCAAAAAATTTAGAGGAATCCGCGTGAACAGTGAATGATCTACGCCCGTAGCTCATGCGTTCGAAGCTTATGTCTCAGGTTACATAAATTGGACATCACGCGCTGGCGTTCAACCCTTCTCTTACATGTCTTGGTTAGGTGCGAAGCACATAGAACTACCATTCATTACATGTAGATAGGTCGAACTATGATCAGCATGCAACACTATGTCCAAATTTGCTATGCAGCACCCCCGGGCCTCCTACAAAGCATTTGCGACATCATGAAATGGCACACGTCTTCATCAGACCAATAGCTGAGATGGCTAGCAATACTAGCAATCATTGATATATCGAAGGCCCC